GTGTGTGTGTGTGTGTGTGTGTGTGTGTGTGTGTGTGTGTGTGTGTGTGGCTGAAGATGTGACGCAGAGCTTAGGAGCATGTATTGGTCTTCAAGAGGGTGCGGGTTCGACTCCCAGCACCCATGGTGGCTGACAACCTTCTTTAACTCTAGTTACAGGAGATGGCTGAGCCTCTTCTGACTTCCTCATTCTCCTGACACAACACGTGGTGCACATAGAGGTATCTAGGAAAAAATACACGGGAAGTAAAACAAATCTAAAAATAACAATTTAAGTTGTACTGTTTGAACCATCAGTCTCCCTGCCCTCCCCCTCAAATGCATCACCTTGGGCTAAACCATGTTTTATACCGTTATTTAATAGATTGTGGGGGTTGTTTTTATATGTGTGAGTGTTTTGCCTGCAAGCTTGTCTGTGTCTGGTGGCCAAGGAGGTCAGTAGAGGGCACCAGGTTGCCAGCTCCTCTGGAAGTGAAGCTACAGATGGTTGTGAGCCGCACTGATCCCTGGGTCCTCTGGAAGATCAGCCAGCACTCCTAACCACCAAACTATCTCTCCAGCCCCTGGAACTTGGTCTTTTTATATTTGATAACATTAGTCAGTGAGATTGTTTTGTCCAAAAACAAATCTCTGGAAAACGTACTTTTAAATTAGACTTACGCTAAGGAATATGCTTAATATTTTTGCTTTGTTTTAATGCAAAAATTTCTTTGTGGCTAATGAAATGCTTTGGTCTGAGAGATGAACTTTCTTCTGCAAGTCATGCTCTTTGCCACAAGGTGGTGGTTTGTGCAAAGGAATCCCTTCTGAGGCCCAAACTAGCAGGTGCATCTTCCTCAAGCCTGCCAGAGTTGATGAAACCGTGTGAAACAAAAAAAGAACAAAGTCCATGGTGGTGGCACACGCCTTTTATCCCAGCACTCGGGAGGCAGAAGCAGGCAGACCTCTGTGAGTTCAAGGACCACAGAGAGAGTTCCAGGACAACCAGAGCTACACAAAGAAATCCTGTCTAGAAGAAGGAGGAGGAGGAGGAGGAGGAGAAGAAGAAATGTACTAAATCTGCCTGTGTGTCATCTTCCAGTTTTTCATCTTAAATGATAAGGAAATAGAAACACAGAGACAGAACTGAATACTTCCCAGTCAGACCAGTTTGGCTGGATTCCACACCTGCTACCTTCCCCTCCCTAAGCCTGGAAAGGGGTTCTGGAAAAGGGGCATCCTTCTTCAGTCTCAGTTTCTCGTTTTTAATGAGGAATATAATTCTTGCCATCCAGGAATGTTGTAGCAAAGACGATGTTTGTCTGTGTCTCCGGACACTGACCCCAGCATTGCTGTTGCTGTGGAGTCATGTCTTTCATGGTGTGGAATGGTGCTGGGCAGCAACTCCAGGTAAGGACCACAGTGGCCTCCCGACCCATGTCTCTTGTCACCTCTTCAGCCACACACACCCATCTCTGTCTCTTCGTGGTCTTTTAATCAAATCAAACTATTATACTTGGAATAATACCCACCCTTTGTACCTGTTGGGAATATGTGAGCTATTTGATGAGCTACAGTTCACCAAAATTGTATGGCATGTTCATTGCTTTTTTTTTTTTTTTTTTGGTCCTACTAAATCTTTGCTGTTGGTGATGGTGGCACACACCTTTAATCGCAGCCCTTGGAAGGCAGAGGGCAGAGGCAGGCAGATCTTTATGAATTTGAGGCCAGCCTGATTTACAAAGCGAGTCCAGGACAGCCAAGCCTCTGTTACACAGAGAAACTCTGTCTCAAAAAACAAACAAACAAAACAACAACAACAACAACAATAACAAAAAATGTTGCCTACCCACAGGTCATGAAGCTGTGGCTATAATTGTTTTCTACAAGGCGTAAAAAGCTCCAATTATTAAAATTTTAAGATAAAGTATAAGGAAAAGAAACATTACAAAGTCGAGTATAAGGACCTCTAGGGGCTGGAGGGATCACTCAATGGTTCAGAACACTTATTGCTCTTGTAGATGACCTGAAATCAGTTCTTGGCAGGCTCTAAACAGCCTGCAACTCTACCTACAGGGGATCCCATAGGCCCTTCTGATCACAGCTCCTGCACATGTAAGGCATGTCTATACACGCAGGCTGTACATGCATGTCTATACACGCAGGCACAAAGAAAGAAGAAAAGAAAGAAAGAAAAGAAAGAGTTGGGGAAGGAAGAAGGGGAAAGAGGGAAAGAGGGAGGGAGGGAGGGAAGAGTTAGTTCAGTTAAGCTTACAGTTAGTTTCCTGTCTTTTCAGTCTTCCACTGTTGCTCAGGCCGGTTGAACCTATGAGTTCAAATAACCCTTTAGTTTACCAAGTAGCTGCCTTTCTGACTGCACACGACTCTGCCCAACTTAATTTCAGGTTTTGGCTGAAAGTTTTACTGCGATACTTGTCTCTTACTGCGGTTGTAGCAAATAGCACACAGAAATCCCTTGCATGCTCCGCCAGGATTCTCTCAATGGTAACAGTTTAAAAAATTATTGCACAGTAGCACAAAGAGATTAGTGATGGTGGCACAATTCATTCATCTCAGATGGCCCCAGTACTGGTTGCTGGTGTGTGTGTCCATGTGTGCTCTATAAACATTTTATCATCTGCACAAGTTCAGGATTTCGAACATCAGCCACACCCACCTTCCTCCTGTGTATCTCCCCAGCTCTACTCTTCCCCATGCCCACCTTCCCTCTGTGTCTCTTCCCAACCATACCCTTAACCTGTATCTAAACTTTCGCCGTTAGAAAAAAGTTAGATAAAATTATATAAACGACATCATACAACATGCAATCTTCTGGGGCCCGGTTTAATCATCTGGTCTAATTCCCTTGGAATCTGAAATTTCCCCTGGCTGCCATCCCAGTTGTTGCGTGGATTCATAATTTAATTCTTCTACATGGCTGTGCATTCCACAGTCTTGGTGCACCGTACTCTGTTTCAAACTACTTTTTTGTGCGGGGGTGTGAGGGAGGGGTCCAAGGCTTATCCTCCCACGTATAGTTCCGGCCGTGTGAGCAGATGTTGAGAAGGGCCACCTTTATTTCACTGAATTGCTTTCTGTTTTGTAAAAAATCACCTGGCTAGGCCAGGCATACCTTTAATCCCGAGCGCTGAGGAGGCAGAGGTAGGTGGTTCTCTGTCCGATCCAGCTCAGCCTGGTTACATAGTGAGTTTCAGGCCAGCCAAGGCTATAGCGTGAGACCCTGTCTTAAAGAGAATTCACTGATTATACTGGTGTGTAATTTTTTTTAAGAACTTTTGCTGTTGCTGCTATTTTTAGTCCTTAGATAACAAGCAAGATTATCTTAAAAACATATAATCAAAGTCATTCAAATTTATTTTATCTTTTATCTTAGTATACAAGCAGTGTGTTTAATTATAGCATTTTTTATGCATGTTGTTTTCCTTTTCAACATTCCTTTGGTTATTTTTAATTGCTTTGATTTTCATACCAACTTCAGAGTCAGCCTGTTAATACTTTTTTGGAAAATTCTATTAGATTTGAGTAGGAGTGTGCTGACTCTAAAGATTAGCTTGGGGAGAACTAGAATTTTATTGATATTGACTTGCTCAGTCAGTATGCAAACAGAATGATCTTTTTCTTTCTTCCCAGCTCTGAGGCTAGAACCCAGGGTCTTAGGCATCAGGCTTCTGTTTTTCTATTACTTCAACAATATTTTCTAGTTGCTTAAAAAAAAAAATCAAAAGACATTTGCGTTTTGTGTTCCTCTACATCATTATTGAAATATCTTATTTCTTCTTTAAAAAGATTTCTTTTTAATTACGCCTATTGGGGGAGTGGAGGCCGGAGGAGTCAGACTCCCCCTGAGGCTGGAGGTGGAGCTGGGAACTGAACTCAGGTGAGCTGGAAGAGCATCCAGCACTCCCAACCAATGAACGAGCCATCTCTCCAGCTTCATCTTCAATGATCTGCTGCCAGAACATGCAGATACAGCTGCTCATTTTTACATACTGACTACTATTCTGGGATCTTGCGAAACTCGCTACTGATTGCTGGCAGTTTTAAGTGATACTTTTATTTATTCTGTGGCAGTCTCAGACATTTCTACAATGTCTTTTGTATTTTGTCATATCCATCCACCACTACCTCCCCCCAGCTCTCTTTATGCCCTCGCCCTGTCTTGCTCCCACTCCACATCTTCTCATTGTTATCAATAAACTCCGTAGTCTGGTCCATAGGCACTGTTTAGTTGTTGGTTGCTGGAGAGTGACTGTTTTCGTTTGACACAGGGTTTCTCTAGGTAGACCTTGAACTCATAGAGATCTGTCCACCTCTGCCTCCCCAGTGCTGGGATTCAGTGCGTGTGATAGGCTCGGATGACTTTGCCGACCAGATACTGAGCCATAAAATGGCTCTCTGAGCCGGAGGACCTCTATTCACTGTGCTGTGCTTTCTCCAAGCCGCGGAATTCAGTTAGCATTACGTCAAAGTGCTTAGGCCTGGTGGGACCCCCTAGTGCATCGGGTGGAGAGCCTCAGGTTGCTCCTGAGCTCTGAACTGATGAGGCCCTTG